TGCGGAACACGGAGTGGCTTCCCAAGTTCCAAATGAAGGTGGTCTTCCCAAATTAAAAGTGGCATCCACTCCAGGGGACATGCTGAGTCTTGGGTGGGAGTCCTTCTCCACTTGTCAGGGCAGAAAGCCTCTCTCACTAACCTGTTCCTGTAACTTACTTTGTTGTGGGAAGAAGGGACAATAGCTTTAGAAAGGATCCTGCGGCATTAAATCCACTCTTTGAAGTGTGGGCCTCCAACTGCTTCTCCTCTTAGTACTTTTGAGGGTTGGCTACAAGAACAAGAGAGAAGGCAGAGCAAAGCATGGTTCCAGAGGCAGCAGTTGGAGCCAAAAGCTTGAGCTATCTCTCAAAACTCTTTAATGGGAAGAAGAAACGCAAAGTTCATCATCCAGAGTTTCATGATCTTGAAGAGATGTTGTAATCAGAAGAAATCCTCAAGGGGTAACAACACCTTTTAATCTTTACCCACCGCATTTATGGTCAGGGTGACCTGAGTTATGCACACACTATGCTCACAAAATCCAACCAAACTCCATGGCAGTTTAGTATGTTGAGCCAAAGGATGTGGAGAAGCAGGGACAACCATAAAGAAATAAAAAATATCACTACCAATACAACACAAAAGATTATTGTTCCACCATTGTGGTAAATAAAAAGATTCTGAAGAAGTCAGTTCAACTTTTGAGTTGCTTTTCTTGAACATTTTCACACATACTTTCCCACTTGACTGTGTTCCTGGTCTATTGTGTATATTGTTATCTGTACCCTAATTAATTAGCAGGTTTCTTCTTGGGAATATTTCTCCACCGCCTTGTTATTTTCAATCCTTTCCCGAATAAGAGGCGACCTACTGGAGGCAAAAACCATTGATCCAGCTTGCAGGAGCAGTTCTCACTTGCTATCTTAATCATCTTAACTGGAAGTCCTTTTTGTATGTAAAGCTCAAACTTTGCCATTAAGCTCTTTTTTCCTTCTCTTTAGAGCCAACCAAGGTGTCCAACATTGCCCCCTGTAAGACCTGTGGACTTCAATTCCCAGAATTCCCCAGCCTGTCATGCTGGCTCAGGAATTCTGAGGGTTGAAGCCAGTGGTGGGTTTCAAAAATTGTTGGAACCTACTCTGTGGGTGTGGCCTCCTTTGTGGGAGTGGCTTTCCCCCCAT